TAGGGCTAGTTTTTCCTATTTTCATGCCTATTCTTATATGTTTTCTTTTTCATGTGAACTTTAATATTAATTTGTCTAACTTTACAAAATAGCTTGTTGGGTATTTTTGTTGGGATTATATTAAATGTATAAGTCAATTTAAGGAGAACTGTTATCTTTATAATGTTAAGTCATCTTATTCAAGAACAGCAGATATTCAGATTTTAGTAACTTCAATTAAAAAAAAAAAGGCCGGGTTCGGTGGCTCAGCCTGTAATCCAGCACTTTGGGAAGCCAAGTTGAGTGGATTACCTGAGCCCATGGGTTCGAGACCAGCCCAGGCAACTTTGCAAGAGCTTGTCTTTACAATTAAAAAAAAAAATTATCCGGGTGTGGTAGTGTGCACCTATAGTACCAACTACTTGGGAGACTGAGGTGGAAGGATTGCCAGAGCCCAGCAGGTTGGCACTGCGGTGGCAGTGAGCATGCCACTGCACTCCAGCCTGGGCAACAGAGTGAGACTCCAACTCAAAAAACAAAACAAAACAAAACACTAGATATCTTGGCATTTGTTCCAGTTGACTTTTGTGTGTCTCAGCAGTGTTTTAAAATTTTCCTTGTATCAGTTTTTTTGTTTTGTTTTTAAGTTGGAGTCTCACTCCATTGCCTAGACTGGAGTGCAATGGCGCGTTCATGGCCATCCCAGTATCGACCTACTGGTCTCCGGTGATCCTTCTGCCTCAGCCATCCAAGTAACCAGAACTACAGGCGCGTGCTACCATGCCTGGCTAATTTTTGATATTTTGTAGAGACGAGGTCTCTCCAAGTTGTCCAGACTGGTCTCGAATCCGTGGGCTCAAGCAATCCACTCACCTCGGCCTCCCAAAGTGCTGGGATTACAGGCTGAGCCACCGAGCCCAGCCTCGTATCAGTTTTTTATGTTTCTTAGTAAAGCTATTTAATTTTCCTTGTTGCTGTTGTTGATGGAGTTTTCACTCCTGTCATTTCCTTTATTTATTTTATATTTTATAATAGCTTTGTTGAGTTTTAACTCACATACCATACAATCCTCCCACTTAAGGTGTACAATTCAGGCCGGGTACGGTGACTCAGATCTGTAATTCCAGCACTTTGATGGGTCGAGGTGAGAGAATTACCAAAGACCAGGGGTTCGAGACCAACTTGGGTAACTTGGCGAGATCTCGTCTCTACAATAAATCAAAAAATTAGCTGGGCATGATGTCTTGCACCTGTTATTCCAGCTACTTGGAAGACTGGCGTGGATCACCTGAGCCCAGTAGGTCTAGAGGCTGCATTGGCAGTGAGCATGCCACTGCACTCCAGCCTGGGCAACAGAGTGATACTTCCAAGTTAATAAACAAACAAACAAACAAGCAAATAAATAAAGTGTACAATTCAGTGATATTTAGTATATTCATAGAGTTGTGCAACTATCATTATAGTTATCTTTCTGTCTATATATGAGTCACAATCTCACAATCTCACTTTGTCACCCAGGCTGGAGTGCAGTGGCATGATCATGGCTCATTGAAGCCTCTACCTCTTGGCCTCAGCTTCTACCTCAGCCTCCCAAGTAGCTGGACTGCAGGTATGCACCACCATGCCCAGCCCAACTAAATGTTTTATATTTTGTAGAGGTAAGATCTTGCTATGTTGCCTAGGCTGATCTCAAACTCCTAGGCTGAAGCAGTTCTCCCACCTCAGCCTCTCAAAGTGCTAGGATTATAGGTGTGAGCCTCCACACCTGACTGACACAATCAATTTTAGAACATTGAATGTGTTCTGAATCGGCCATCATCCCCAAAAGAAAGTCAGTACCAGCCAGGTACAGTGGCTCATACCCGTATTCCCAGCACTTTGGGAGGCGGAGGCAAGAGGATTGCCTGAGCCCAGGGGTTCAAGACCAGCCTGGGCAACTTGGCAAGATCTCATCTCTGCAATAAATCAAAAAACTAGCCAGGCATGGTGGCACGCACCTGTGGTTCTAGATGTGCACGCCTGTGGTTCTAGCTACTTGGAAGGCTGAGGCGGAAGGATCACCTGAGCCTAGGGTTGAGGTTGTAGTGGCCGTGAGAATGCCACTGCAGTCCAGCCTTTGTGACAGAGTGAGCCTACAAGAAAGAAGGAAAGAAGGGAGGAAGGAAGGAAGGAAACAAACTCAGTACCAATTAGCAGTCACTCTCCTTACCCTCACTCCAACCCTTCTTTTTTGCTGTTGTATTTAGTGGCTTTTTCCTCCAGCTTTTTGCCACAGCCACGTAAGGATGGTCTTTGGAGCTCTGACTTCCTACTTCTTATTTAGTAAGTAGTGACGAGAGAGAGAGAGAGAGAGAAAAGTGTACTTAAAAAGGTATTTCAATGTGTTAGGAAATATTTTAGAATTTAAAGAAAAGTATAGAATAACTGCCCACCTTAAATTTTAAAAGGGGAAAGGAAAGGGAATTGATATGTCTTGTGTTCTTGCTAAATACTAGTCATTGTGTTAGGTTACTTGTCTTAGAATGGTCCTGTTTGTTTCAGCTGATACCCTACTCAATTCCTGCCGGTTTTAATAGACTAGAAAACTGAGATTCAAGCAGGTCAAATATGAGGGAGGGACCCCGCAAAAAACAGAATTATCGTTTTGGAGGGCAGGCTCCTTGTAGTATACTTGGAATTTCTTCCTCTGGATCAACCAATAAACCAGAGTTTTTATCTGGAAGTTTTGAAAAGGTAGCATCTTGATTTGTGGAGGAAATGCCCTAAGTTGTGGCAAACAGGTTACTAGTTCTTCCACCGTGACATCCTACCTGCTCACACCAAGCTGAGTGCTCAGCAGCTTTTGACCAAAAACGTCATGACCCCTTTGCTCCACCCACCCTGAGTGACTTTTTTTTTGTTTCCCTGATTGTATCAATATGGAAGAGGTGATACAAAAAATGGCAGAAGCACTTAAAAGGCATCCAAATTGACAAGTTTAAGAATTGTTTTGAGCAGTGGAAAAAGCATCAAATGGAGGGTACTTTGAAGGTGGCTGAAGTTTAAGCATGTAAGAATAAATACACAATTTTTAATCAATAAAGTCTTGGTTTTTTGTGAATTATCGTTTGTAACTTGTTCAAGTTCACACAGCTGTGGAATGGTAGAGCCAAGGTTTACATGCAGGAAGTTTTGTTTTGTTGTTTTAATGCATGTAAAAACTCTTTAGTGAAGATGTTTACTAACCATGGAACAACTTAAAAGTTTCAAAATCTAGGGCTTATAAGGTAGTTAAAGGATACTGGCTAATGACAGCAATATCAGGAGCCTAAAGTGGTGTATATTATTTTCCATAGGTCCTAATGTAACGAAGCAGTGTGGTCTCTTTGAGTACTATTGAGAAGCTAAAGGTTTATTTATCTCTATTATATCTGTGAACACTGTGGTCTTCTAGTGATGACCTCTTTGGAAAAAATGAAGATGTTCAACCAGCACCTTGTTTGTACTTGGGCTGAGTATTTCTGCCTTTGTGAAAATGAATAATCATTCCTTCTTAATAGTGAAGTTGTGGGCAACCCCCTCAGGTCCCATCTCACTTGTGAGAGCTTTTCTGTCCTCTCAATAAATCCTGCTTTCTCAACAACAAAAAAAAAAGTGAAGTTATGAAATAATCTTATTGCTGCAAACATTGTAAGTGGGCAGTCTCACAGGTTTTGTTTAGTGTTAAATATTCCAGCAAGGGGTACATTTTTAAAGTTCTCCTTGTGCCATTGCTCGATCATTGTCTTGATAAACTGTGGTAGAGCCATGTGCTCTTTGAGCTGCAGCCAAGCTATGTTTACTGGCTTTGGCCTCCTCCTCTACCTTGGGGAGGTAAATCTCATCTCCCTCTCTAATTTACTTTCTAAATAAACTTTATTTTCTAATCTTAAAAAAAACTTCTCTTTATGAGGATTACTTTAATGATAAGTCATAAGTTAAAAGTCCTGAGGAGTTACTTTCTAGTGAGGTAAAGGGTCTAGGTAAAGGGTATCATATGGCTTTTGTAGCCTGGTCTGCTACACGATAGGAGTTCTTGATGGTATGGCTCTGGAGAAAACAGTTATCACTGTTAAATTTTATTTTTAATTTTTTTTGTGTGTCGGAATCTCACTCTGTCGTCCAGGCTGGAGTGCAGTGGTACACTCATGGTCACTGCAGCCTCGACCTGATGTGCTCAGGCAATCCTTCTGCCTCACCCTTCCAAGTAGCTGGAACTACAGGCATGTGCCACCACTCCCAGATAATATTTTTATTTATTGTAGAGATGAGGTCTCACCATGTTGCCCTGACTGGTCTCGAACCTGTGGGCTGAGGCAATCCTTTCACCTCTGCCTCCCAAAGTGCTGGGATTTCAGGCGTGAGCCAACGTGCCTGGCCATCACTGTTATTCATAAAAATTTTCTTAAAGAAAAGAGAAATCTTGAATTTTACTGCAAGAAAACTGAAACCTAGAGAGGGTAAAGGATATGACTAAATGCTTGCAATTAATGACAGAGGTTGACTGTATTCTAGGCTTCATGAATTTGAGTCTGTAATCCTTTATATTAACAAACTAGTATGTATACATATAACTGAACTAGCCTTTCAAAGAATGTTTCATCCTTTACTCCATTTTAACCTGCAAATCCCAAATGAGGCCTAATTTATATAATTATATCATTCTGTAGTTCTATGAGTATTTTTTTAGAATTATGTCTATAATTTTTTAAGTAAAAATATTTATTGTTTTCAGATTATAATGTTTTCTGATTATCATTTTGAAACTGTGAAAATAAAGTAAAAGAAAAAGTTACATAGCTGTAATAATTACATATATCTGCAGAAATAACCAGATGCATTAAAAAAAAACTCATCCCTCAACTCTCTAGTAGAACTAATGATGTACATTTTATGATTTACTTCTTTTTCTCAAGATTATTATTGTTTTCCTTCTCATCTAATAATTTATACATCTAATGTTCTAATTTATTTATTTATTTTTTTTGCCTTCCTATCCATAGATCTTGAGCCAGATGATTGTGCATCCATTTACATCTTTAATGTAGATCCACCTCCATCTACTTTAAATTCACCACTTTGCTTACCACATCATGGATTACCGTCTCATTCTTCTGTTTTATCACCATCGTTTCAGTTCCAAGGTCACAAAAACTATGAAGGAAGTTGTGAGATTTCTGAGTCTAAATATAGCCCATTAGGTGGTCCCAAACCCTTTGAGTGCCCAAGTATTCAAATTACATCCATCTCTCCTAACTGTCATCAAGAAATAGATGCACATGAAGATGACCTACACATAAATGACCCAGAAAGGGAATATTTGGAAAGGCCTTCTAGAGATCATCTCTATCTTCCTCTTGAGCCATCCTTCCGGGAGTCTTCCCTTAGTCCTAGTCCTGCCAGCAGCATCTCTTCTAGGAGCTGGTTCTCGGATGCGTCTTCTTGTGAATCTCTTTCGCACATTTATGATGATGTAGACTCAGAGTTAAATGAAGCTGCAGCCCGGTTTACTCTTGGATCCCCTCTGACTTCTCCTGGTGGTTCTCCAGGAGGCTGCCCTGGAGAAGAATCTTGGCATCAACAGTATGGACTTGGACACTCATTGTCACCCAGGCAGTCTCCTTGCCACTCTCCTAGATCCAGTGTTACTGATGAGAATTGGCTGAGCCCCAGGCCAGCCTCAGGACCCTCATCAAGGCCTACTTCCCCCTGTGGGAAACGGCGGCACTCCAGTGCTGAAGTTTGTTATGCTGGGTCCCTTTCACCCCATCACTCACCTGTTCCTTCTCCTGGTCACTCCCCCAGGGGAAGTGTGACAGAAGATACCTGGCTCACTGCTTCTGTCCACAGTGGAACAGGCCTTGGCCCTGTACTTTTTCCATTTCCGTACTGTGGAGAGACTGATATCCCTCTGAAAACAAGAAAGACATCTGAAGATCAAGCTGCCATACTACCAGGAAAATTAGAGCTCTCAGATGACCAAGGGAGTTTATCACCATCCCGGGAGACTGCAATAGATGATGGTCTTGGATCTCAGTATCCTTTAAAGAAAGATTCATCTGGTGACCAATTTCTTTCAGTTCCTTCACCCTTTACCTGGAGCAAACCAAAGCCTGGCCACACTCCTATATTTCGGTGAGTTGATGGAAATGGCTGCTGGTCATTTTTCATGCTTATGTGTCATTGGTGGCATGTAGCTACATTATTATATATAATGATTTGATCACTTCTCCTGTTCTGCCCTTTTTCCTACATTTCTAACAGACAAATAACGTAATGTTTATTTTCATTGAGTCTTAAAATATTTTTAGATAGTCTGAATCTAATTTTAAAAGTGCTTAAAGGAATGAATTGTAGATAATAATAAATCACATTTAAGAATCCCTAGAAGGAATTTTTTTTATCTAGAAAAGTTTCTTGGAAGGAGTAAGTTAGCCGAGTGCAGTAGCTCACGCCTGTGATTCCAGCACTTTGGGAGGTGAAGGCAAGAGGATTGCCTGAGCCCAGGAGTTCAAGACTAGCCTGGGAAACTTGATGAGACCTTGTCTTTACATAAATTTAAAAATTAGCCAGGCGTAGTGGTGCATAGTTGTAGTTCCAGCTACTTGGAAGGCTGAGGCAGAAGAATCACCTGAGATCAGCATGGTCAAGGCTGCAATGGCCGTGAGCATGCCACTGCACTCCAACCTGGGTGACAGACTCCAACTCAAAAAAAAAAAAAAAAAAGTAGATTATAGTGTGAATTAAATTACTGATAAAAGTAATTGGGAATTAGCTTATCATATTTTTAAGAGTTCAATATGTGAATGAAATTTGCCTTATTATATTTGTGGCAAGGTTTTTTTTCCATAATTTATTTTTTGTCACTTGACTTCATATGTTATTATTTTTGTTTGTTATAGAGGATTTTTATGTATTCAGATTTATCTTTTTTTTTTTTTTTTTTTTTTTGAGTCGGAGTCTCCTCTGTCACCCAGACTGGAGTGCAGCCATCCCAGCGTTGACCCTGCTGGGTTCTGGCAATCCTTCCGCTTCAGCCTTCCAAGTAGCCAAACTACAGCTGTGTGCTACTGCGTCTGGCTAATTTTTGATTTACTGTAGAGATGTGGTCTCGCTAAGTTTCCTGGTTTGGTCTCAAACTCCTAGGCTCAGGCAATCCACTCATCTCGGCCTCCCAAAGTGCTGGGATTACAGTCTGAGCCACTGAGCCCAACCTATCTTTTGTTTTACACCTTTTCATAGTATAATGACTATTTTCCAAATGTCTTATCAGTTGTCACAATACCATTTAAATAATATATTCTTTACATTTACCTGCTTAAAACCAAACCAGAACAAAAAGAATCAATCTAGTCTGTAACTGATTAGAAAATACAATATTTTTACCGGGCATAGTGGCTCAAGCCTGTAATCTCACACTTATGGAGACCAAAGGGAATTGTCTGAATCAAGGGGTTTGAGACCAGCCTGGACAACATGGTGAGACCATGTCTCTGTAATAAATCAAAAAAATTAACTGGGTGTGGTAGCACATGGCTGTAGTTCCAGCTACTTGGAAGGGTGAGGTGGAAGGATCACCTGAGCCCAGCAAGTTGAGGCTGCAGTGGTTGTGAGAATGCTGCACTCCAGCCTGGGCGACAGAGTGACATTCTAACTCAAAAAAAAAAGAAAGAAAGAAAAGAAAATACAACTTTTGGGCCAGGCATAATGGCTCATTCCTGTAATCCCAGTGCTTTGGGAGACCAAGGTGGGAGGATTGCTTGAGGCCAGGAGTTTAAGACTAGCCTGCGATATATAGGGAGATCCCATCTCTACAAAAAAAAAAAAAAAAAAAAAATTAGCTGCGTGTGGTAGTGGTAGTGTACCCCTGTAGTCCTAGCAGGGCGATCATTTGAGTGCAAGAGTTTGGGGTTATATTAAGGTGTGATTACACTTTTTGTACTCCTGCATGGATAACAGAGTGATGTCTGTTAGGTTTTTGGTTTTTTGGGATTTTTTTTTGAGTTGGAGTCTCACTCTGTCACCCAGGCAGGAGTGCAGTGGCACACCCACAGCCACCACACCCTTGACCTGCTTTGGCTCTTGGCTCAGGTGATCCTTCTGCCTCAGCCTTCCAAGTAGCACAGGTGTGTGCTACCATGCCCAGCTTATTTTTTGATTTATTGTGGAGACAAAGTCTTGCCAAGTTGCCCAGGCAGTCCTCTCGCCTCTGCTTCTCAAAGTGCTGGGATTATATGCGTGAGCCACTGCGCCTAGCCTTAATGATTTTTCATTAGTGTGAATCTTTATTTCTGAATCCTGATCTTTAGAAAAATATAATATAGAATTATATTGAATAAACTTTTGAGCTCATCACCTTGCTTCTGAAATTTATCTCAATCTTTCTAGAGGTTTGCTTAAGTCTGCAGAACAAGAATAGAACTGATTTGAAGAAGTTGAGTAGTTTCAGACTAATAAAAATTCATTCCTTTGAGCTTCCCAGTAGGAGAACCTAAAGCTAGGCTGAGAACATTGACGGAAACAATGAAATAATTTAGAAATTTTATTTGACTTGTAGACACAATAAAGTTTCTTTTCTAATCCATTTGTTAGTCTTATTGTTCAGGTGTTTTTTTTTTTAAAGAAGGACATTTAGAGATGCTGCAGTGACAGGCTATTTTTTCAGCCAAGTATATGCTGAAATTAAATTTTTAACTCAAATTGCAATATTGCTGAACATAAATAATTTATCAAAGAGAAGAAGAAAAGAGCAATAGGGAGAAAGTGGGGAAAGTGATAAGGGCAACAATAGACTGACTTCCGAAAATCTAAATCAGACTGGGAGAGATACATACTGAGAGAGAGATAGAGATTAACTGATTTAAAAACTGGAGAGATAACTGATACACATACACAGAGATGTGCATCTTTGTCTTTTTTTTTCTTTGAGTCAGAGTCTCACTCTGTTGCCCAGGCTGGGGTGCAATGGCACGCTCACAGCCACCACAGCCTTGAACTGCTGGGCTCAGGCGATCCCTCCACCTAAGCCTTCCATGTAGCTGGGACTACAGCTGTGCACCACCATGCCCAGCTAATTTTTTGATTTATTGTAGAGATGAGGTCTCACCAGTTGCCCAGGCTGGTCTTGAACCCCTGGGCTCAGGCAATCCTTTTGCCTCCAACTCCCAAGTGCTGGGATTACAGGCTTGAGCCACCACACCTGACGATTTATATTTTTCAACCTGCAAAGGATTTATGGGCTTCAGTGTAAGTTGAGGAGCATCTGGAATTATAGGTGTGAGCCATCATGCCTGGCCTCATCCCTGCTTTAAGAAATGGAATTGTTACTCTTTTGATTATTTTTGTAATTAGGTACACATAGTTGAGAAACAGTATATAGTTTTACTGGTTGTTAGAATTTATTATGCTTTTCTAAAAAAAATGGGAAATCATAGTAAATAAAATTATTAATCAGATTAAATAATTATTTATTAAGCACTCACCATAACCAGTTGTAAGTTACTAAATGAAGTTTTATTTTTGAATGCTGTTTCAAAGATCACAGGAAGAAATGTTGGTGTTGACAAAGAAGTGATTTGAATTACTGCTTGGCAATAATAGCATAGTGAAATGCGTCTTTGTGTGTTTTGTTTATAGCACATCTTCATTGCCTCCATTAGACTGGCCTTTACCAACTCATTTTGGACAATATGAACTGAAAATAGAAGTGCAACCTAAAACTCATCATCGAGCCCATTATGAAACTGAAGGTAGCCGAGGGGCAGTAAAAGCATCTACTGGGGGACATCCTGTTGTGAAGGTATGAGACTTGGGACTTGTTTTGCAGATATACCTGTGAATGGTTAGACAAGTCTGTTTAGTTAGATACTACAGAGCCCAAAGAAAGAAAACTCAAGATTAGAGAGCCTCTGTTGTTTTGTGGGCTTGCTGATATGACTGTACTTCTGCATTTAGTTATCTTTACTAAGCTAAAAGATGTTCTTTCTGAACTGACTCTCCAACTGGGGAAACTCTGGGGAAAGATTACAGTGGCCAGTAGCTGTTTTTCTGATTAAAAAAAAAAAGATGACTTTTATGTTTATGAACATAAACATATATATACTCACTTAAAATTTAAGTAACATAGAAAAAGAATGAAATTGAAAGAATAAAGTAAGTAATACAGAAAGAATAAAGCAATAAATTATCCAAAATCTAACTCTCTCAGACATAAGCAATGGAAACATTTGATTAACATTCCAAGCCGTGTGCGGTGGCTCATTCCTGTAATGCCAACACTTTGAGAGGTGGAGACAAGAGGATTACCTGAGCTCAGGGGTTCAAGACCAACCTGAGCAACATGACGAGACCTTGTCTCTACAATAAATAAAAAAATCAGCTGGGCGTGGTGGTATGCGCCTGTGGTTCCAGCTACTTGGAAGGCTGAGGTAGAAGGATCACCTGAGCCCAGCAGATTGAGGCTGCGGTGGCCATGAACATGCCACTACACTCCAGCCTGGGTGACACAGTGAGACTCCAACTAAAAAAAAAAAAAGATTCCAGATACCTCTCTGTATATATATTTAGTGAAAGACTGGATAGATAACTAGAAAAATGAATGAATAAGGAGAAGATGATACTGAAAGTTCTTATTCTTACTTGAATTTATTAGAAGAAAAGTGAAGTTTTAAAAACTATATAATATTTCAAAATGTATGAAATATATTTTGTATATTATATAAAATTTTAAATCAACATTTGGATATTAACTTTAATTTTACTTGATTGGCATATTCAAGGAAATGAAACTAAAGGAAAACTAAGAACTGATGAATGTTAGGTACTGTTTTTAACTTTAAAAATTCCTAAAAGATGTTTCTAAGGTTAAAAAGAAGAGAGAGAGAGAGATTAAATAATTATTGAGAGATTAAACTACGGATTCAGATTTAGATAGTATGAATGGCTCCTTGCTCTGAAAAATAATAGTTAATGTTCCCCTCCTTTTCTACTCTCTACCTCCTGAGTTTTCTTGCTTGTATTATTTTCCCGTTCAGATCTACAACCTCCTTATTGCCCCTCTGCTGTTTAGCTTTAGTTCTATATCTGGTTGCATTTGTTACTCACTACTAGTTCTTTTTTATTTTTTTCATTGTTACTTTTTTTGTTTTTTGTTTAAAGAAGGCTCTGGATTCTATGTTCCTTGGCTTGTTTCATGTTTGAAAATGTGTTTGTTGCCTTTATATGCTTAAACATAAGAATGGCTATATATCATAACCTCTCAGAACTGTATAGACATTTTTTCCCTCTTAGCTTAATAGCATTGAGTACTTAGTGGAAATACTAATCATAATGAAGTGATTTTCAACAGTTCATAATTTATGAACTATTAGGGTGCAGTGGCTCATGCCAGAAACTTGCCTGTAATCCCACAAACTGGGGAAGCTGAGGTAGGAGAATCACTTGAGGCCAGGAATTTGTGACCAGTTTGGGAAACATAGCAAGACTCCATCTCTTTAAAAAAAAAAATGAGGTGGGCATGGTGTTTGGGCCTGCAGTCCCAGCTACAGGGAGGCTGAAATAGGAGGATCACTGGAGCCTAGGAGTTTGAGGCTAGTGAGCTATGATCATGCCCCTGTACTCTAGCCTTGGTGACAGAGATGTCTCAAAAACAGAAACAAAAGAACTGATTTTCTGCTTAATGGGAGACTAATTCTGTGTTTTGATATTCTCCTTGTGTTTTTCTCTTCAGTGTTTTTACATTCTCCTTGTGAATGACTTTTTTTCTTTTTTTTTCTTTTTTTGAAGTTGGTGTTTTACTCTGTCACCCAGGCTGGAGTGCAGTGGCATGCTCACAGCCACTGCAGCCTTGACCTGCTGGACTTGGTGATCCTTCTGCCTCAGCCTTCCAAGTAGCTGTAACTACAGATGCACAGCACCATACCCAGCTAGTTTCTATGATTTAGTGTCGAGATGAGGTCTCACCATGTTGCCCAGGCTGGTCTCCAATCCCCGGGTTCAGGCAATCCTCTCACCTCGGCCTCCCAAAATGCTGGGATTACAGGCTGAGCCATTGTGCCCGGCCAACTTATTTTTTTCTAACTTGTCGCTTGAAGAATTATTAAAGAATTACTAGAAGTGATTGACTTGACAGTGTCTGGATGTTGCTATTGTAGTTCTTTATCAGTCTTTCCCAGTACCTATGATTCTCCCTTTCTTTTTTTTTCCCCCTCTTTTTTGAGATGAGGTCTCACCAAGTTGCCCAGGCTAGTCTCGAACCCCTGGGATCAGGCATTCCTCTTGCCTCCGCCTCCTAAAGTGCTGGAATTACAGGCTTGAGCCACTATGCCCAGCTGATGCAGTGGTATGCTCACAGCTATCACAGCCTTGACCTGCTGGGCTCAGGCGATCCTTCCACCTCAGCCTTCCAAGTAGCTGGAACTACAGGCTGTGCCACCATGCCCAGCTAATTTTTTCTTAATTTATTGTAGAGATGAAGTCTTGCCAAGTTGACCAGGCTGGTCTCACACCTCTGGGCTCAGGTTGTCCTCTCACCTCCACCTCCCAAATTGCTGAAATTATAGGTGTGAGCCACCTGCTGGGCATATATACATTTCTTGTTTCTTTAGTTTTGTCATTTACTTAAGTGACTCTAATTACTATTCAAATGTTGATTTATCTGTCCTCCATGTTTGTATTCTTTTCTCTGGATGCTTTAATGTCTTATCATTTTTTAAAGCCTCACCTACATGTTATTGAATGATTATTGCTTGATATTTCTAATTTATTAGATCTGCAATTGTCTTTTGAATTTTAATTTGATTGGTTGGTTCCATTTACCATGCATTTAGTATTTTATTATTATATTTGATCTGTTGATTTCTTGAATTTGTATTCTTTTTTGCTTGTTTTTTTTTTTTTTTCAAATAGAGAAAGCATTTTGCTATATTGCCCATACTGGTCTAGAACTCCTGGGCTCAAGCATTTCTGCCACTTTGGCCTCACCAAAGTGCTGGGATTACAGGCGTGAACCACTATGCCTGGCTGAATTTATATTCTCAAATTTTTTAGTATGGAGCACTGACAAGCAGTCAATTCCTCAGCTTTGTTGTGTGTGTGTGTGTACATGTGTGTGTGTGCATATGTGGGTGTGTGTGTCTGTGTGTGTATTTTGTTTTTTGGCCTACCAGTTTCATTTTCTTTGGATATATACCCAATATTCGGATTGCTGGGTCATACACTAGTTCTATTTTTAATTCTTTAAGGAACCTCCATACTGTTTTCTGTAATGCATTCCTATAACAGTATGCCAGTGTTCCCTCTTTTCCTCATCCTTGCCAGTGTTTGGTATTTTTTGTCTTATTGATAATAGCCATTCTGACTGGAGTGAGATGATATCTCATTGTGGTTTTGATTTGCATTTCCCTGATTATTAGTTATGTTGCATTTTTTCATAGGTTTTTTGACCATTTGTATGTCTTTTGAGACATGTCTGCTCAGATCCTTTGCCTCTTTGCCTCTTTTTCTTTTTTTTTGAGATAGGGTCTTGCTCTATTGACCAGGCTAGAGTGCATTGGCATGATCATAGCTCACCACAGCCTTGAATTCTTCTGTGTTCCAGTGATCATCCCACCTCAACCTCTCAAGTAGTTAGGAATATAGACACATGCTACTATTATTATTATTATTATATTTTTGGGGGGTCAGAGTCTCACTCTGTCACCCAGGCTGGAGTACAGTGGCATGCTCACAACCACGGCAGCCTTGACCGGCTGGGCTCAGGTGATACTTCCACCTCAGCCTTCTAATTAGTTGGAACTACAGGTCTGTGCTACCATGCCTGGCTAATTTTTTTTTATTCATTATAGAGACAAGGTCTCGCCAAGTTGCCCAGGTTGGTCTTGAACCCCTGGGCTCAGGCAGTCTTCTCGTCTCAGGCTCCCAAAGTGCTGTGTTTACAGGCTTGAGCCACCATGCCCTGCTGCTGCTGCTTCTTTTTATTATTATTATTAGTATTATTTTGAGTCAGAGTCTCACTCTGTCGTCCAGGCTGGAGTACAGTGGCATACTCACAGCTACTGCAGTCTCGACCTGCTGGACTCAGGCGATCTTCCTGTCTCAGCCAGAGATGAGGTCTCGCCAAGTTGTCCAGGCTGGTCCTGAACCCCTGGGCTCAGGCAATCCTCTCGTCTCAGCCTCCCAAAGTACTGTGTTTACAGGCTTGAGCCACCACGTCCTGCTTTATTATTATTATTATTATTATTATTATTTTGAGTCAGAGTCTCACTTTGTTGTCCAGGCTGGAGTACAGTGGCACACTCACAGCTACTGCAGTCTCGACCTGCTGGACTCAGGTGATCTTTCTGTCTCAGCCAGAGATGAGGTCTCGCTAAGTTGCCCAGGCTGGTCTCAAACCCTTGGGCTCAGGCAGTCCTCTCACCTCCACCTCCCAAAGTACTGGGATTACAAATGTCAGCCACCGTGCCTGGCAATTAATTTTTTTTTTTTTTTTTTTTTTTTTTGGTTGG